TTTTAATCCATTGCCTTCATTTTTACTAAGGGTCCCAACTTTGGCCAGTAAGAGGGTCTTCAAATTGTGTCTGTTGACCCGATCTTACTAACCTTTAGTCATTTCGTGCTCACTCGGTGCCTGCCCTCGCCCTTTTCCCAAGGAGCACCGCCCGTTTTAATGGGCCATGCTGAACGCCAGGTTTGCTCCCTGGTCAAAGCGTCTCTCATTAGCCCATGGAGGCTTGCGTGTTGCCAGGGTGCTGAGCTGATTTCCCTGCAGCTTCGGACTGAGACCGACGAGAGGAAAAGCCTGGTGACCTACTTCTGAAAATCAGCCATCGAAAGCCCTGTGGGCGGCAACCATTCCGTCTGCACTCAGTCCTGGGGACGGTGCACGGTCCACGAATGTGTCAGACGCTGTGCATGGGGCACCGGGAGTCAGGGGACCAACAACGAAAACAACATGGAAAGATGCAACCTCAGACAGAGGGCACTCTTTGAGGTGGGACATTTCCGCAAATAGGACTTTTTGTCCGTAGGAGAAAATACATCCTGGGTTCAAGCATATTTCCAAGGCATGCATTCCTGCAAAACCAAACAGCTTCCACATTGAGAGTGTGCATCTCTTTCTCTTTGGAACGCTTAGTTCCTAATACCATCCGTGTCAGGCTTCCTTCTTTGTAGTTTTAGAACAACAGGGCCAATACATTTCTAACAACACGATCACAGAAGACAGTTTGAGACGGTACTAATTCAGTGTTGGACATCCTGGGTTTCAAAGCCCCGTGGAAGAACTCCCCTATGGATGGTGGCGTCACAAACGTGATCCCACTTGGTTTATTGTTTCATATGTTTGTTAATTTGTTAAGGACGGGCTTTTAGAAATTAAAATTTTCACTTTGTTTTATTATTCTATGAAGCATTCACAGGCTTTAAATTTGAGCCTGCAACATTCGTCATAGCGAGAGGCTTCTCCCTTGTGCTTGTAATCTTGTGGCATGTAATCTTTTTATTGACTCACTAAAAATGCATGTGATTATGAAAATGTATTTCCTTCTCTTTTTAGATAAACAATAGGGTACTAATGTGTCTGTATTTTGTTGGCCAAGCATTCTGCAACTCTAAATCTAGAGATATTTAAAATTTTCTTTCCAAAAGTACAGCAGCCCATTATGTTGATCTAGTATAATTTTTTTTTAACCAGTCCCCTCCTGATAGACACAGAGGTTGTTCCAAATACCTTATTGTTATAAGTGGTGCCGTAATGGATAACCAATGCCTATGCCTTTTCATCATTTGCTACTGACTCTTCGGAATGAGTAGGAAGTGGGGTTCCTGGATCAGAGAGCAGGTGCATATGTATGTGATGATGCTAGAGGTTGAGAAATTCTCCTCCATCCACAATGGATGAGCGTGCTGCTTCCCCACAGCCTCACAACAGACTTAAATGGGGGCCAATCTGGTACGGGAGAATTACAATCTTGGTGCGATTTTGATGTGCATTTCTTTCATTATGAGCTTGGTGGAATTTTTGGGTTTTTTTGTATATTGAAGGACTCCTTGCATTTCTCTGCTGTGAACTGCCTGTGCCTTTTGACTACTTTCCCTGTAATGTGGTTGGTCTTTTGCTTGACTATTTTTAGAGCACTTTATGGCTCAGCAATATGACCATGGAGGAATTATAGCCATTTGTCTGTCTTAAAAGACTGCAAACGTTTCCCCGGGTTTGCTATGCTTCTTTTTATTTTGCTCATGTTTTACTTTTGCACAAAAACATTCCCATGTTGTCAGATTGATCAGTTGTTCCTGTGTTGCTCCCGAATTTTGAGTCATCATTGGGAAAACTTTCCCCACTCGTAGATTTTAAAGCGATTTGCTTGGGTTTTCGTTCAGTGCCCACATGTTTCAATTTTGCATTTTAAATCTCTGAGCCATTTGGACTCCATCCAGGTGTGTGACAGGCGGAAGGAATCCAATTTTATCCTTCTCCGTATGGCTCTCCAGAGAGCTCCAAACCAGGGACTAGAAACCCCTTTTTTCCTGACTGAGTTGACTTATGCTTCCTGGTTCTTACAGTAAATTTACACATATAATTGGGAGAATTTCTGGGTTTTCTATTTTGCTCTGTTGGTTTGCCCATGTATCATATTTTTATGCAAATAGTGTGCACATTGTATGGTTTTTGCAAATCTATATAACCCCCTCCCATGTTTGTTTCCTATGAGCACTACGGTTGTTATACGTGTGCATGTTTACATGGGTGCCTTACATGCAAAATACAGTAAGTACTCTTGTGCCAATATTATCTTTACAAGTCATAGACATTTTGTGATACATTTTTGTCTTTGTAGAGGCAGCTTCCCCTCCTCTGATCTTCTTTTTCGGGGAGCTCCTGGTTATTCTTGTCTGGTCTTCCAAATGACCTTTGCGATCAATTTGTGTGGCCCCAGAAAAGTTCTGGGTGGCGTGCCGTGCTTAGTGGAATCCCATTATGTTTATAAATTAATCAGGGAAGATCGATCTTTCTGATTCGGAGTCTTCCTGCCCAAGAGCACTGTTTGTCGCTCCGTTTGTTCAGGTCCCCCTCGGTGTCTCTAGTAGTGTTTTACACTGTTCCTTCTTTAAGCTTTGGAGGCTTCTTAGGCAGAGGTGTTCTATCGCTTTTCTCTTCTAATAGACCTTTCCGCATGAACTCTTCTACCTGGTTTGTGTTTGTGGAGATCCTCGTGGGTCCCATGGAATGGATACCAGTGCACAGCCACCCCAACGGCCAGGATAGAACTGTACTTCCATGGGCTTTTCATGGCTGTGCGCACACAAATCCTGGGAGCAGGTAAATGTTACTTGTTTCTGAATGTTGGGAGGCTCACCTGCTACTTTACGAATTCTCTTACGGTCGTTGGTAGTGTTCTCATTGAGTCTTTTATCTTAATAGCTCGTCTTTCAATAGGGATCATTTTACCTCTTCCTTTCTGGTCCCGGTTGCCTCCGAGTGCTTTCCCTTGTCCAATTGCAATGAGGAGTCCCTTCAGCACCTTGTTAAACAGCAGTGGCAGCAGTGAATGCGCTTCTCTTGTTCCTGGCTTGAACCCCAGAAAGCAAGCTGCTGACTTGTGGGCCTAGGACAACTGTAATCGAAGTGAGGGCCTTTTAAAAACATGAAAGGATAGGAGTTTATTTTCAAGCGTCTTATTTGAACCTATGGAGATGATATGATCCCGACCCCCGACCCCCAGCTTTATTAGCATGTCATTAACTCTCTAGGCAATCTTTTCCTGAGGCCCACACTAATCCAGAATGCCTACTTCTTAATATTTGTGGTAGTCACCTAATCTGGTGTCAATTTAAGGATTAAGAGTGTAGGCGGGGAGTCTAGGCTGTCAATCTGGAGATAGCCAGTGAGACTTCTGTGGGCATGGCCTTCTCCTGAGAATTCTGGGAAATCTGGTACTTCCTCCTTGGAGGCGGAAGACACCTCTCTCTCTCTGCTACTCCCTGGGAGACATTGCAGAAGACAAGCCACATGGACGCATCCAGACCTTGGAAGCCAGAGAAGCCACAGAGAGACCCCTGTCAGCACTGAGATGCTTACAACGCCACTGGACCCAAAGGCTTTCTACCCACTGGGAGGTGATCGTCCTGCATTTGGCTTCATTGCATGTGCTTCGTGAGTCTGAAAAGGACTTTATAGATTGACATCGGATGTCTGGGCTAATATCAGACTTATGGCCTTGGGCTGGACTGGGCTGGGATGTTTTCTCCATGTAAAATTGTTCTTGTCTATAAAGCTCTCCCTTATGTACATATGTGTGTTTATGAATTTGTTTCTCTAGTCTACTGAGACTAACACAATATTAAATGTTTCTTAACATTTTAGAGCACCTACGGCTCATCTAGGAAATTGGCAGGATGAAGCGTGTGGGCCCCTCTCTCCGAGCCTATTGATTTAATCCACTGCACGATGCGGAACAGTTCAAGGGCTAAAAGTCTTGACTGTGGAGCCAGGCTGGCTGGCTGGAGCTCTGCTACCTCCTATGCATAGGGCCTTGGGCAAGTTGTGTGATCTTGCTATGCTTAGGTTTCCTCATCTGTAAGAGGGATGATGACAATAGCTATATGGTAGGGTTGTTGCGTGGATGAAACGGGTTTATATACGCTAAGCATTTAGATAGTACTTAATCTACTGCATTCCTTCTTGATAAAGATCTCATTTCACCCTACACGCACACGCCATTCATCTTCTTTCTACCTGGTCATTGTACACTCTAACGTCAGATACAAGGGCAGCAAAGGGAATAAGGGTGTCTAGAACCAGTTGCTGTTGAGTTGATTTGAGCTCATGGCACCCCCCTGTGTGTCAGAGTAGAACTGCGATCCAGAAGGCTTTCAATGGCTGCTTTTTTTTGGGGGGGGGGGGGATCACCAGACCTTTCTTCTGAAGTGCCTGTGAGCGAACTTCAACTTCCAACCTTTCAATGATCAATCAGCTGGGCACAAGGGAGCTTGTAAACAGAGAGGCCAGATTTGTCCTTTGCTGGTGTTATGACCCCTTCCCCGCCCTAGCTTGGAACAAGGCTTAGATCCCCTTCAACTGCCCCCCACCCCCTCCCCCCACACCTCCGCACTTTGGTGACTGAGTTCTCATGATCGTGAGCCTGGCCCTGAGAGAGGGGTTCTGAGGATGCGGCTTCCCCAGGAGGAGTGGCATTCAGCCTGGCAGGAGACCCGCACTTGGCGTCTTTTCCAAGGGGGGAGAAGGCAACAGCAATGTGTGTGTGTGTGTGTGTGTGTGACTTCCCAGAGGCCTGCTTGACTGGGGCCGTGAGGTCCTTCTTACTCCACCCACGTCTGACCGCCCTTCCCCCACATCATGGTCGGCCACGAGGACATGGTTGGTCTCTTGAGCTGCCAGCTGGGTAGTAAGTAGGAGGAACCCCAACTCAGCCAAGGGAAACCTGGAACCTGAAGCAAGCCCTGCTGCTTCTCTTCTCTGAACCCTCAGTGCATGGCTGGACCTACTCTGAGCTGTTGAGAGCCAGTCCCGTCCAGTAGGCCTCCATGGGGGCTGTCACCACTGCGTCAAACAGGACCTTCTGCACCAGCTCCTCATCACCTGGGGGAGCAAGACGGGGGCCATGTGAAGATGAAGCCGCTTGTTTTGTCCATGATCTGGATGTCGCTCATTGACCCCTAGGAAGGGCCCCGGAGTTCTCGGGACCAGCTATGCCTCAAACATGTTGTGCGTAACCATCTGTGTGAGTTGCACAAGTCCCAGGTCCCTCCACTCCGAACAAGAGTAAAAGGAAATGATTTCTAAGACCTTCCCCCCATTCGAACATCTGATGGTGTTAGGAGAATAGTTCTGGGACTGCATACTTGGATCCGGACCCCGCCTCTCTCTCCTATCTCAACTCTCACCCCCTGCAACTTGACCGTCACCCTCAGGACACGCCGGCCTCTGGGCAATCTTGTGGATTTGAAGGTGCCATGCTCCTCCTTGTCTCAGAGCCTCCCCCCTCCCCGCCCCCGCTGCTCCCTGGTCTGGGTGCTCTTCCCCACGCTGCCATGTGACAGCTCCTTAGAGAGGTGGCCTTCCCTGATCATCTGCTTAGCTGAAGCGGGTCCCATTTTCTCCCCGACAGCCCCTATTATGGCGTTTTTTCACAATCTGTAATTATCTGTGTCTACGCGCAGAGGCCTGCCTATTTGTCATGTGCTTGCTCCACTGGATGATCAACTCCAGGAGAGCCAGGCCTTTGTCTGTTGGAGTAATTTCTCACCTTCAACGCCTAGCCTGGGCATGTGGTCAGTGTGTAGTTGTCTATGGAATGAATGAATGAACGAATGAGCCAGCTGACCTGGGAGGTAGAGCCCCTTCATGGGAGGGACCTTTATGTGACATGATGACCTGCTCCTTCTTCCAGTGAAGGTATGGCCCCATGATCTCACCATGTGCCTTAGAGCAGGGGAATTCAGGGTCAGCCTGAGAACCAGAGTTCAAACTAGAGTTGTGGACCCATAGGCTTTATAAGAGGCCACCTGACCTAGTGAGGGAGAACTCCGGGGTGTAGGGTTCCTGACTGGGGGCCCTCAGTGGGGTGGTGACTGGGACAGGGTGCCCTGACACATGTGAGCGTCTGCTCTGAGTCCTAACAGGGCTCTGCAGACAGACGGACGGGCCTTTACGTAGCTCTCTCTTCCTGACATTCCTGTCACCCCAGCTCCCAGGATGTGTTGACAGTGGTTTTGTCCCCTAGAAATGGCTGGCTCTGCCTTAGTTTGTTGGAAATTTCCCTTTTCTCCCACGGCCACCCCGAAGTCCCAGGGACAGGGCCCCCAGACAGCCGCTGCCCCTTCCTGCATAGCCCTGGGTCACAGGACTCCTCTGGGTAGGTGACACTCACATTCCAAGTCTGGGTCCTCCCCCGTCAGGAACTGGGTCATGGCCTCCAGCTGACTGAGCTTCTGGTGGTCTGGGTCGATATCTGTGACGCAGTAGATCCTGGAAACCATGAGAGTCAGCCAGCGTTCTCGCTGACGATTGCACCATTGTCCCCCGCCTCCCCCCGCCCCAGTCGCTACTGCTCATGAGCGGTGACTTCCCTGCTTACCATCCACTGGCCAGCATCAGATCTGGGTGAAGCAGGTCATGCAGGCCTGAAATCAGAGAGGCACCCCCGTCAGCAGAGCTGAAAACCAGCCGTGTGGTGAGCCTCTTTAAGGACCACGACCCCCAAAGACCAAGCCCACCGCCATTGAGCTGGCTCTGACTCACAGCAACTCCACGTAGGAATTCGGAGGACTATACATCTTCCCGGAGCCTAGAGCCTCATCCTTCTCCTCAGGAGTGGCTTGCGGGTTTGAACTGTGTACCTTGCGGTCAGTTACACAATGCTTCACCCGCAGCACCACCGGGTCTCCTCTCTGGAGAACGGGGCTGGGTTTTAGGCTCTCCTCTGTCCAGGCACTAGCCTTGCCTCAGTGGAGGGACTCAGTCACGGGTCACTTCCTGACATGACCGTGCTCCCCACTGCCTCAGGGGCCCGTAGCCCCTTACCTTCAAGGTTCAAACACAGCGTCTCCCAGGACCTCCTTGTCCAGGAACCATCTCTTCCTCCCCCTTTGGCTTTCCTGTCCCTCACGCCTTTCCCAGCTTCCTTCTGGTTAGAGCAGGCATGCCATGATGCTTCCAGCTCTGTGAGCAGCTCCCATCTAATTCTCCTTAGGCTCCGCCTCCCTCCCCCTGCCCCCCAGGGAGCCAATCCTTTGAAATCCACGGTTTCAGTCTCCTTGGCTTTCTTGGGTCCCACTGTGCTCCATGCAGGTCAGCAATACACCTACTCTTTGCTACCTCTGCAGCCTCCCTGCCCTGGCCGTGCGCTCAGCACGTGTTTGCCGAGTGAAGGAACTCCGTTCTCAGGAGTGGCTTCTCCTGCTCAGTGGTAATTAGGTGCCTCATCGGGCTTTTGCAAAATCAAAGGAGAGGATGATGGAAGTTGGGTGAGTGGGGGCTTCTGAGAAGTCATTGGGAGGGCTAGCCGACACAAAACAAATAGATAAGGGGGTGGTGTCCTTTCCTCAGTAAAGCCCAGCCAGCTCCATGAATCCAACCCCCTGATGTCTGGTCCATTTCTCCACAGAGGTGGGTGCAATAGAGCCCCTTCTGTCCTCTGAGCCATCTAAGCTGGGAACAGCTGGGTCTGAAGCACAAGACAGAAGATGGTGTAGTCGGGGTGCTTAGGGGTGCTTAAGGGCTTTGATTGGGAGAAAAGGGAGGATGGAAAAAGAGAGTGCCCACCAGACATGGGAGGGCAAATCGACCAGGGGCAGAGGCAAGTATTCAGCTGGTCTGGGTGGGGAGAGTGGGGGGAGGTGACTTGACAGGGATGGCTTCCCAGAGTAGGGCCTTCTGAGCTGGGACCTGAAGTTTGAGCTGGAATTCAAAGGCTGGGGGCTGGAGAGAAGAGCTTTGTTTAGAGGGGGGTCAGCACAGCTGACGGGAAAGCCTGGAAGCTTAGTGTATAGAGAAATGGGGAGGGGGGTTTCAGATTTGGCATTTCCAGAGAGACTTCTGTGCTTTAAAAGGCCCCTCTGAAAAGGAGAGAGGCAGGGAGAACCCTCAGTAGTGCTGGTGGTGGCTAGGCTGATGGGGTGGGGAGACGGCAGATGAGATGCCGTCCAGAGAGGGGAACGAGTAACAAAAGAAAGAAAGGACAGAATGCAGCAGGCCAGTGACCCGCTTTCCCACGGGCTTCCAGAGCGTCCCTGGACCCTGCGTTCAGACCTGGGTTTCTCAGGGTCTCCTGCGGCAGCAAGTCAGGGACCAGGTGGACCTGGGATGGGGCCCTTCTCCCCCGTCCTCCCTCCATTGCCAGTGCTTCCCTCAGACAACCTTATACTCTGGTCTCCTCTCTTTCTTTAACATTCATTTTACTGGGGGCTCTTACAGCTCTTATCACAATCCATACACAGATCCATTGTGTCCAACACAACTGTGCACATGCTGTCATCATCTTTTCAGAACATTTTCTTTCTCCTTGAGCCCTTGGTAACAGTTCCTCATTTTCCTCCTCCCTCTCCCACCCTCCCTCCCCGAGGTCCCCTTGATAATTTATTTAGAAATTGTTTTTCATATCTTATACTGACTGCTGTCTCCTTTCACCCACTTTTCTGATGTCTGTCCCCCTGGGAGCGGGGCCATACATCGATCATTGTGATCAGTTCCCCCTTACATCCCCCCTTATCCTTCTAGTATCACTGCTCCCCTTATTGGTCCTTAGGGGTTTATCTGTCTGAAGGGCCATAAGTTAGAGAAGAGCCAGTCAGGGTGCAGTGTAGCACTGTGAAACACACAGCCATCCTCTAGTTCTTTAATGCTTCCTCTCCCCCTCCCACTACCATGACCCCAATTCTATCTTACAAATCTGCCTAGACCAGAACATGTATCCTGCTACAGATAAGAGCCCCTCTCTCTTTCTTATCTCCTCCTTCTAGCCTCCTGATGGCATGGTTCAAACAATACGTTCCCTCAACTGCCCTCTCTCGTTTGGCGCAGCAAAGCCTCCCAGCATAGGACTGGGCATTGCCTGGCTTGGTCAGCTGGTGCAGGACTGCCTGTGCAGCCAGTGGGGGGTGGGCACCAGTTCACACAGACCCCTCCTCTCTAGGCAGTCCCTGCCCTGAGAGCCCACTCTCATGCCTGGGACGTGGGGGGTTGTTGAGCCAGCTCCCCCCCGGGTGGGTCTCACCCAGGACTCAGTCCAGTCTGGCCTCTATCCACCAGAACGGGATCTGACGTACCTTCTTCCACAGATGTGTTCCCCAGGAGGACGTATTCTCCGTGGCCCTGGGACAGCACCACTCCCAAACTGTGGGGGAGCAGAGAACACACACACATCCACAGCGCATGACACCCCTCTCCCTGCCCACAACCTGCCCCTTCCTTCATCCCACACCCATGAGCTTTTCATGCCTGTGACGTATGCACAGCACCCAGGCCAAGCCCTTCCACCCCACAGGCCACCTGTTCTTTCTAGACTTGAGATAGCTCGCCCTTCCTTCCTTCCTGCCTTCCTTCCTTCCTTTCCTTTCCTTTCCTTTCACCAGTTTGTTCCTGAGAAGGACCCTGGAGATTCGCTAGACCAAGAGTCCTTCCAACTCCCACTGTAGCCAAAGCACATCTTGAACCCCACCTGGACCCCTTGAAATGTAGGAAAGTGGTCCATGCCTCACAGTGCGTCCCACAGACAGGAAATCCCCTTCCCACCTGGCAAGTCCTGCTAGACCCTCTTTGCCTGTAGACCAGCAGTTCTCAACCTGTGGGTTGCAACCCCATTGGGGGTCGAACAACCCTTTCACAGGGGTCGCCCAATTCATAACAGCAGCAAAATTGCAGTGATGCATAGCAACGAAAATAATTTTATGGTTGGGGGTCACCACAAGATGAGGAACTGTATTAGAGGGTCGCGGCAGGAGAAAGGTTGAGAACCACTGTTCTAGACATTTGGTTGTCAGCCTTGGCTAAACATCTGAATCACCAGCCTAGAGACTCCAATTGCTTGGTTTAGATGGGGCCTGGGCTCTGGTGTTTTCACCAAATTCCTTGGGTATTCTAATGAGCAGTTGGGGCTGAGAGTCACTATTTCAGAGATCACGAATTAATTCAGAAATACGGGCCATTTATTTCTTAATCTGTAAAGTGCCTAGAACCAACCATTTATGGGGTTTGAAGGAACTTCAAATTTGATTCTTTTATGTTCCAACAAGGCGTTCCTTTAAGAGCTTTAAGTGGACTACTTATTATTCAGAACAACCCCATGAGACATAGCAATTATGATTTCCTTTTTACAGCTAAGTCTAAAGCACAGATTGGTTTAGTAACTTGAACTAGACCACACAGGCTACGCATGGTAGAGCTGGGCCTGAAACCCAGGCAGTTTGACTTTCCAGCCCGCACTCTTGATCCCAACCCACCTTGCTGAACGCCAGGCCTGGTTTATTTTCGAGGGCCATCCCACTGCCAACTCATATGGCGAAGCCCATAACCCAGACTTGAGAACTCAACTCTAAGCTGCTGGCCGGTCATGTTTCATAGCCCTCCCTCTGTGCATAAAACGTGGGTCCCTCACCTGAAAGGCGTGTCCCTGATGTGTGTGAAGAAGTAATCATGGGTCAGGAAAAGGACACGCTTCTGGAAGAGCCAAAAGAGAAGGGTGCTTGCTGGAGAGAGGACTGCTGACCCGGTCACCTGCCTCCCTACCCAGTGCCCTTGGAGCCCCTGTCCCGCTGGACCACGGCCTTCTGGTCTCCCCTCCTCCTTCGACCACCACCGACTTGCCTCCTCAGATGAAGGTCCGCAGGCAGAACCCAGCAAAACCACAATGCTTCGTGGGTGTTACCTGGGTTTAAGGACTGAGATCCACACCTGTGCCACGAGCCACAGGTAATGTGACCCAGCAACCAGTTTGCCGTGCCACCGAATCACAGTGCACATTTACCCAGCCACTGTGGCTCTGAAGTATCATATTCTAGAGTCTAGACCATGCAGGGATGGACAATGGCTCCAGGGTCCAGTGTGAGGACAGACAAGAAACTTCCGGCTGGTATGAAAGACGTCCGAAGCTCATCTCTAGGCAACCCACCAACGGAGAATGGGGCACTGTCCCCCTGCTCTACTTACCTGCCCCCCACCCCAGCCATGTACCTCTTTCTTTTTTTTTTAGTTTAAAAAAAAATCATTTTATTAGGGGCTCATACAACTCTTATCACAATCCATACATACAT